TAAACACAGTAATAAGAACGTCTCTACATCTCATGGATTTTTGGATAAAGCAGGTTATATGTACAGTATCTACTTCAGGCATTGGTAAACTTTGGCCCTCCAGGTGTTTTGGACTTCAACTCCCACAATTCCTAACAGCCGGTAAATTGGCTGGGATTTCTGGGAGTTGAAGTCCAAAACACCTGAAGGGCCAAAGTTTACCCAGGCCTGATCTACTTCAACCTGGCTTCAGGCCTCATTATGGGGGGAAGTCCAGTTTCTTTACCTTGGATATGGATCTTTGGATATGGAAAATATGCTACTGTTGCATCTATTGGACTTCTTAGAAGATTTTAACAAGTCCCTTTGCTCGGACTTGGAGATACAATTTTATGATTACTCTTGTCTCTAGAGCAGTGGTTCTCAACCTGTGGGTCCCTATGTATTCAGGCCTACAACTCCCAGAAATCCCAGCTGTTAGGATTTTTGGGAGTTGAAGGCCAAACCATCTGGGGTCCCACAGGTTGGGAACTACTGCTCTTGAGGGACTGTTCGGGAATCTATGTTTGATATCATTGTTTTTGGTCCATGATTTTCCTCAGGGATGTGCTTTGTCACCCATTCTATTTACCTATACCACTAGCAGGCGGCCCTAGGTAACTTTCAACGGTAAGCAAACAGTATTTTGGCACCCCCACCCCCAACCAATCACTGATATATATTTTCTGTTCATAGTGGGAGTTCTGTGTGCCATATTTGGTTCAGTTCCATCATTGGTGGCATTCAGAATGCTCTTTGATTGTAGGTGAACTATACATCCCAGTAACTACAACTCACATATGTCAAGGTCTATTTTCCCCCAAGAGTGCCCCTGGGCAAAATCAACTATACTGCAAATGCTTACTTTGCGTAATGGGTTGAGCCGCCCCTGACCACTAGGGCAGTGGTTACCAACCTTTGGTCCTCCAGGTGTTTGGGATGGGCTCCCACAATTCCTAACAGCTGGTAATCTGACTGGGATCACTGGGAGTTGAAGTCCAAAACAACTGGAAGACCTCTGCACTAGGGAGTCTATCTGGAGTACTGGAGTTTACTGCCACTGTAATGTCAATAACATCCAATTCTTTCTCTCTCCCTTCTTTCAGACAAAATCCAAGGAAGCTATTGTCTAAATCAGTGATCTAAGTAGGGTCAGCCTTAGTTAATACTTGAATGTGTGACTGCTATTGGATACGAGGTGCTGTTGGCTACACTTCAGAGGAAGGAATTAGCAAATCACCTCTGAGTATTCCTTATCTAAGAAAACCCTATGAAATTCATGGAGTCATCCTAAATCAAAAGGCTTGAAGACACATACGCACACAATCTGGTGTCAGTAATGCACTGAAAGAAGATGAAATTTAATTTTAAATCCAAATAAAATAGAGATGCTTCTGGTTAGCTAATAAATGGATTCAGCAAGAAAGATTCAATCTGTGCTGCATTGGGGTTACACATTCCTTAAAGGTTTGGGTTTGAAGTTTGCATGTATGCCTGGATTTTGTCCTCAGTCTAGGTCCTCAAATGTTGATACAGGGCAGAGTTGCATTTTTACGGAAAAGACTAGTGTGCAACTATGTCTGTTCCTGGAGATTGTTGATCTGGCCATTGTGACACATACTTTAATTACGTACATTTCAACCAACTATAATGCACTCCACATGGGGATGCTTTTGAAAACAATATTAATAAATTTCAACTGGTACAAAAGGCAGCAGCCAGACTGTTGAAAGGAGACTGTTAAAGGAAATATGTAAATTTCTTGTTACAAAAGCATCACTGACCATTCATCAATTTCTGGGCCCAATGGAAGTGATCTATGTAGCTCTGTACAAGTTCAATCAAGCATCAGAAAAACCACTTTCTTAACGCATTTTGCAGAGAGGGGCCTTCATAATCTCAGACCTCCCACCAGGAAAGAAACATCTGGAGACACAAGAAAGAGCCTTCTCAGGACCAGCACGATACTATGAAATTCCCTACTAAAGAAAGGAGAGTGATCGAGGTATGGTACTTGTTCATCCTGGGAGAACTTAAAAGAAACAGTGATCCCCTTTACAGTTTCCGCCATGGCACTACTTCTCTCCTTTATGAATGACTGAGTGGAGAAATGGCAGTGGTTGGGGCAGAAGGTCCCAACATGACGTCAGTACTTTCTCCTTTTGGCAAAATGACTCTTGACTTATTCAATATTCATGGGTAATATCAAAATCTCCAAATTTGGCCCCCAAATCTGCCCTTGACCTATATATGAGGTTGACTTGTGAATGAGTAAATACGATACCTGCATGGGATTTAACTGCTTGGATTTTTTTTTCTGTGTGTGTGTCAGGAGCAACTTGAGAAACTGCAAGTCGCTTCCAGTGTGAGAGAATTGGCCATCGCCAAGGACGATGCCCAGGGGATGCCCAGATATTTGGTGTTTTACCATTCTTGTGGGAAGCTTCTCTCATGTTCCCACATAGGGAGCTGGAGCTGACAGAGGGAGCTCAATCTGCTCTCCCCGGATTCAAACTGGTGATCTCTCAGTCAGCAGTCCTGCCGGCACAAGGGTTTAATCCATTGTGCCACTGAATGCTTGGGTGCTAGTCCCTTCTTTAATGCTGCATTTTAACAAGACAGGCTTTTAACCCAATCAAGATTTTGTTGTAAATTCTGCATTTTAGTATTGTTGTATTTCAGCATAATTTAATATATAAATGGGTGTGATCAGGATTGGGCTTGAAGCCTGATTAGAACCAGAAAAGACCTTATTCCTGCCAATGCACTGATACCACGCAGTTGCTAATGTAGAACAGAGCTCATCTAGAGGCATGCATTACTGAAAAAGGGGAGGAATTCAACCATTTTGCAAATTTTCAATCACCCTGACTACATTTATAACTACTGTGGATAATGTATACATATACTTTGTATTACTTTGAACCCTGGATATCACTCAGTAAGGCATGGGGTTATATATACAAATGCTTGTGCTAAAATTAACACCAGCTAGTTGAGAAGATGCTGCTACATTCCTTCCCTACCTTCCTCCTCCTTTTTATGCTGCAAGAGCGTAACATGGATGCTTCTTTGAAAACTACTACTAAGATATTTGAAATGCACTGGGAACTTGGTATCTGCTGGGGTTTGGTTCCTGGATCCCTGCCCAAGGATACCAAAATCTGTGGGTGTTGAAGCCTCATATTGTTGTCGTTGTTCTTTTTATTATTTATATTCCACTATATCTTCCCCAAAGGGCACTCAAAGTGTCTTAACATAAAAGCATTAGCGTAATCATTTAAAATATACACATATACAAACATGGAATTAGGATTAAATGCAAACAGTATTTTTAAATGTAAACTGTTAAAACTATTAAAACAAATTCATAATTTAAAAAACCAACGATGCTGCTCCTTATATGAAATTGAAAAACCAAAATATTTTTGAGCCACAGATGGTTGCATTGGAGGATGGAGGGCTTGTTGTTACCAACTAAATACTGTAATATTTATCCTCTGTAAATTAAAAAAAAATCCATCACATGCAAGATACCAGCTAAAGGGTTAATATCCTGGATTGTTGGAACGTTTCAAGTCTCCAAAAACTCAGCTTAAAGGTGGAAGCAAGAAATGCAAGATCCCTTCATTCTTCCAACTTTGAAATGTCAAAGAGCTTCAACTGGGATGAAAAATGTGTATGTTTTACATTGATGATGAAAAAATAATAATAATAGGAAAGCCAACTCTCCTCCAAATAAAATGGTAAACTAAACTGCACTGAGGGCCCTTCCACACAGCCATAAAACCCAGAATATCAAGGCAGAAAACCCCACAGTATCTGCTTGGAACTTGGATATCTGAGTCCACACTGCCATATATCCCAGTTCAAAGCAGATATTGTGGGGTTTTCTACCTTGATATTCTGAGGCCAGACAGCTGAGTAAAATCCCACATTATCTGCTTTGAGCTGGAATATATGGCAGTGTGAACTCAGAAAGACAAGGGCCCTTCGACACAGCCCTATATCCCAGAATATCAAGGCAGAAAATCCCACAATATCTGCTTTGAACTGAATTATCTGAGTCCACACTCAGATGTGGGGTTTTCTGCCTTGATATTCTGGGATATAGGGCTGCGTGGAAGGGCCCCCAATTCAAAGCAGATATTGTGGGATTTCCTGCCTTGACATTCTGGACTGTATGGCTGTGTGGAAGGGACAAAAAAGTTCAATTTCAAGAAAAGGAGGAGGAGAAAAATAAGAAGAAGACGAAGAGCACACATGCCACTAATTTAAAAACCAGAGAAGAGCGCTGAAGGAGGCAACAAAAACCAAAGAGTGGAAACAGAACCAAATAAAGTTTTTCTTTCTGCAGTCTAGGGGCCCTTCCACAGAGCCCTCTATCCCAGAATATCAAGGCAGAAAATCCCATAATGTATGCTTTGAAGTGGGTTATAGGAGTCCACACTCGCATAATGTGGGATTTTTTTTTGCCTTGATATTCTGAGATATAGGGCTGTTTGGAAGGGGCCTGAGTTACCTGAGGGTCTCTCCACACAGCACTATATCCCAGCATATCTAGGCAGAAAATCCCACAATATCTGCTTTTAAGTGGGTTATCTGAGTCCACACTCAGATAATGTGGGATTCTCTTTTTGCCTTGATATTCTGGGAAATCGGGCTGTGCGGAGGGGCCCTTTGCCATCCTTCCAACAAGAAAGAGAGCGAGAAAAGATCTTGAGAAAGAAAGAGCAAGGGGGAAAGTATGACACTTTGGACTTTGAGGAACTTTTGAGCAGAGCAAGAGTGAAGGGAAAGAAAAGGAGGAAAGAGGAGGAGGAAGAAAGCTGGGATTTGTCCTGCCTCTACATTTGGTGAGGGAACAAATGGGTCGGAAGGAGGGGATGGAAGAAAGCGAAGTTGGAGAGGAGAAGGAAAGAAAGAAGGAAGGAAGGCAGGGAGGCGCGAATACGCACAGGCAACCAACACCTTTTATTTACCTTGGCGAGGCGGAGGGGGGGGGACGCCATCCTCTGGGCTCCAAGCGCCAAAAGGCGAGAGGCTTGGGAGCCTTTGGAGTTGCAAGGCGGAGGACGAGAGGAGGAGGAGGAGGAGGAGGAGGAGGAGGAGGAGGGGGGGGGGCAGACAAGGCGGCAGTCCTTGGAGCTGCCACTCAGGAAAGGCAAAGCAAGGTAGCGCCTCCAGTCGCCGCCAGTCTGGCTGGGAGGGAGTGAAGGAGTGGGTGGGTGGGGCGCGTGCCTGCAGCTCCCTCCTCCTCCTCCTTTTCCTCCTCCTCCTCTTGCAGAGCCCTCCTTCCCTCTGCCTTGGCGCCTTTTCCCCCTCTTGCGCCTCCTCACCTGCCCAAAGGGAGCCTCTCCTGCGCGTTGCCCCTCCCTCCCTCCTTCTCTCCCTCCCTCCCTGGCTCAAGCTTCCCCTCCTTTTCCCGCCTCGGGGCTTCCAAGCGCACTAAGGAGCCCCTCTCGCGCTGACCCAGCCACTCCGCGCGCGGCCGCAGGAATGCCACGGGACGCAAGGGTTGCCAAACGCTGCTTTGAGCTGGGATATCTTGCATATATTCGTTTCTGTTATCGGGTGCCTGCCTATCCTTCCCACTTTCCTGGACAGACAGGCATCGAACAATTCTCACCTCAAACATTTAACTAGGGCCCCTTCCACGCAGCGGGGAAAAAATCCCACATATTCTACTGTGAACTGGAATATTCGGCAGTGTGGACCCAGTTCAAAGCAGATATTGAGGGATTTTCTCACTTGATATTCTGGAGGACCTTCCACCCAGCCCTCTATCCCAGAATATCAAGGCAGAAAAAACCACATTATCCGAGTGTGGACTCATAACCCAAATTGTGCGATTTTCTTCCTTGATATTCTGGGATATAGAACAGTGTGGAACAGGCATGTAGCGGGGGGGGGGGGGGGGGTGAAATTCTCATGGTGGTTCGTGAAAAGGCCTTACTGGTGCATTATTTAAACTTATGTTTATTCATATCATGATCTGAGCACCATACTCAATATATCCCATATGCATGAGGGTATCGGGGTAATGATACAAAAGGTTTGCTAGGCTAGACCCTCTTTCACTCAGACTCAGCCCCCCCCCCCCCCCCGAAACGAAATCCTGGCTACCGCCCTGGTGTGGAAGGGCCCTGAGTCCACACTGCCATCATCAAAGGAGATAATGAGGGCTATTCAGCTGTGTGGAAGAAGCCTGAGCTACTCCTGAGGTGATCCCTCCTAGTTTGAGGATGATGGCCCTCCAAGTGTAGTGTCTTGGTGGGTTTGTAGGTGGCTGTGGAGCCCTATTCTTGACCCACATGTTCTCCCACAGTGAGGGCATTGGTTTCCAGGTGGAAACTGGTCCCAGTCAGGGTTGGCTTGATGTGCCTTCCTCTTGGCACATTTCCCCCTTTCACCCTCCATTCGTGCCTCATCGAATTCTGAGCACTGCTGGTCACAGCTGACCTCCAGCTAGAGTGCTCAAGGGCCAGGGCTTCCCAGTTCTCAGCGTCTATGCCACAGTTTTTAAGGTTGGCTTTGAGCCCATCTTTAAATCTCTTTTCCTGTCCACCAACATTCCATTTTCTGTTCTTGAGTTGGGAGCAGAGCAACTGCTTTGGGAGACGGTGGTCAGGCATTCAGACAGTGGAGTTGATGGTGGAGGACAATTTTTTCAATTCTGGTGGTCTTTGCTTTTTCCAGCACAATGACATTTGTCCGCCTGTCTTCCCAAGAGATTTGCAGGGTTTTTCAGAAGCAGCGCTGATGGAATCATTCCAGAAGTTGAGTGTGACAACTATAGGCAGTCCACATTTTGCAGGCATATAACAGAGTTAGGAGGACAGTAGCTTTATAAACAGGCACCTTGGCCTCCCTACAGATATCTCGATCCTCAAGCACTCTCTGCTTCAATTGGAAAAATGCTGCACTCGCAGAGTTCAGGTGGCGTTGCATTTCAGTGTCAGTGTTGACTTTCTGGAGAGGTGGCTGCCAAGGTAGAGGAAATGGTCAACATTTTCTAGTATTACACCATTAAGCTGTATTTCTAGCATTGTAGAAGGATTGGCTAGTTACTGCTGGAAGACCACTTTGGTTTTCTCAATGTTCAATGACAGGCCGAACTTCTCGTATGCTTCTGCAACAGTATTTAGAGTGGCTTGTAGGTCTTCTTCTGAATGCACTCCGACTACATTATCATCAGCATACAGGAGTTCTATGTGGGATATTATATGTGGAATATTTAGCTGTGTGGAAGGGTCCAGGGCCTGTCCGGAAGGGCCATCTGATAACCCATTTCAAAGCAGATATTGTGGGATTTTCTGCCTTGATATTGAGTTATATGGCTGTGTGGAAGGACCCTCAATGGCCCAAACTCTTCTCCTCCAGGTGTTTTGGACTTCCAGCTTTGAACTGGGTTATTGAGTCCACTCTGCCATATATTCCAGTTCAAAGCAGAAAATGTGGAATTTTATTCAGCTGTGTAGAAGGGCCCCCAGAAATCCCAGTCAGCTTACCAGCTGTTCGGAATTGTGGGAGCTGAAGTTCAAAACATCTGGAAGAGCAGAGTTTTAGAAACCACTGCCTTAAAGACTTTCCATGACTTTGTCTGGGTCCCTTTGGAGTAGGCGCTCTTAAGAATATTAATGCACAGCTCTTTGCGTTGGTGTTGAGTTAGGAAGGAATTCCAAATGGCACATACAGGAAGTCCCCAAGTACCAACAAGAAAGTTTCTGCAGGTGTGCTCTTAAAGTTGAATTTGTATGTAAGACCAAACAGGGACATTTTTTTAAAGTGTAACTCCAGAAGGCGAGGCGAAATTTTCTAAAAAGGACATAGATAGCAAAAGGAACACCACAGGGGTGTTAACTAACTTTCTCTCTCTCTCTATGTGATACATATATGTGTGTGTGTGTATGTGTTTACTATAAATATAATAAATAAATAACCCTTCACTATGCTATCCAAAGGCTGTCGTTAGAGCTCAAAATGTACCAGTTCCAACTTACATACCAATTCAACTGAAGAGCAAACCTAAAGAACTGAACTTGTTTGTAACTTAGGGACTGCCAATTTATATGTGTGTGTATATATATGTATGTGTGTGTGTGTGTGTATATATATATATATATGAATTTGTTCATTCCCCCCCCCCCAAACTATACTCTGCCCCCTCAAGTGAACCAGCCCTCAGTTTAAAAAGTTTGAGGACTGCTGCTCTATATCCCAGTACAGACCGTCCCCGAGTTACAAACATCCGGCTACAAATGTGTCATAGTTACAAATGGGGATGAGACAACAGGAAGTGAGAGAAATTTACCCTTCGGAAGGGAAATTCACTCCTGGAAGAGTTATCCTGGGGAAAAGGGGTCTCCACTGAGGCTTTCTCATTTCCACAACAAGCCATTTTTTTCAAAATCCAGTCATTGCAGGGACAAAAAGTAAAGTGAAATTTTCTGAACTGGGGCACAGAGAGCAAAACAAACACCATGGGGCATTAACCTTTTGTTAGGCAATCCAAAGCTTATATATATATATATATATATATATATATATATATATATATATGTCTTTTTTGCACCTGAGGGGGGCCTCGGTGGTGCAGTGGGTTAAACCCCTGTGCCGGCAGGACTGAAGACTGACAGGTCACAGGTTTGAATCCGGGGAAAGGCGGATGAGCTCGCTCTATCAGCTCCAGCTCCTCATATGGGGACATGAGAGAAGCCTCCCACAAGGATGATAAAAACATCAAATCATCCCCTGGGCATCGTCCTTGCAGACAGCCAATTCTCTCACACCAGAAGCGACTTGCAGTTTCTCAAGTTGCTCCTGACACGACAAAAAAACTCCAAAAAACTGAGGGAACAGGCTAAAGCGGGTATTTCTCATTGTTTTGTCCCAGATCTATTACAAATAGTGAGGTAACTCCCTCCTGCTGTAATATATTACTGGTTGCTGCATTCCTCTGTCTTTCTGTTTCATTGTCAGAATCATACTCAAAAGTCTGTGACTTCACTTGCCCTTAAAACTTCCTTCTGCTTTCTAGGAATGTCCTATGCATTGTTGTTGTCTTAAAATAACCATACTCTCTCATTTTGTGGCATGTATGTTGAGCTGCTTTAATGATTCATTACATCCCCTTTCATTGTTAGTGGTGTCCCAGTTCTTTGTAACGAACAACAATAAATAAAGGCCAACATCTATGGTGTTTAAAAATGGGGAGTGGGAAGAAAACTGATTTATCAAAATATCTAGAACATTAGGCTCAAAGCATATTTTTAATGGTTTTGCAAAATAATGTTTTGATGAAATAATCAGATAGACTTGCTGGTTTTCATTATTGTACATATTTTTATTTTGAATAATTGGCAATACAAACATAGTAATGAATCATATACAGTAGACCCAGTTTACTGAAACACATGTAACTGGTAAAACATTAAAGAAATAATATGCTGTTGAAGGCTTTCGTGGCCGGAATCGCTGGGTTGCTGTGAGTTTTCTGGGCTGTATGGCCATGTTCCAGAAGCATTCTCTCCTGATATTTCTCCCATATCTGTGGCAGCATCCTCAGAGGTTGTGAGGTCTGTTGGAAACTAGGCAAGAGGGCATTATATATATGTGGAATATCCAAGGTGGGAGAATGAACTCCTTTTTGTTTGAGGCAGGTGTAAATGTTGCTATTGGCCACCTTGATTAGAATTAAATAGTCTTGCAGCTTCAAAGCCTGGCTGGTTGCCACCTGGGGGAATTCTTCGTTTTTTTGGGGGGGGGTAGCTGGACCTGATTGATTCTAGTCTGGAATTGCCCTGCTTTTTTAGTGTTACTCTGTCAGGTACAAATGACATGTCAGGAGAAGGGGGGGGCAGGAGTGATTTTCCTCTTGTCCCCCTTCTGGCACATCATTTGTATGCAACAGGAGAGCTCCAGCAGCAGTTTCATGGCAGCTAGATAAGTTTATTTTACTCCCCCCCTGTTTTTAAGGAGTTTGGGGGAGGGGGAGGGGCTGGGGCTGTATCCCTGTCTTCCCGTAAGTTTCTGGGTGGGCACCTGGACACCCACCTCAGAAAGCACGAGCTTTCTGGTGCGTGTCTGCACTAG